GACTTAGCTCCTAGTAATTTCTTCTTATTCCCTAAGCTTAAGAGTTTGCTGAAATGAAGATTTCAGGCATTCAAGGCAAAATTGCAAGCGCGACGCGAGCACTGATCCTGATTCCAAAAGATAAGCGTTAGCAATGTTTCCAGCGGCTGAAGAAACACCGGAAAATTTGTGCAAATGCCCAAGAGGTCTAGTTTGAAAGATATAACCATCGGTAGTCGGAAAGAGTCAGCACAGCGTCATAAAAAATTTTGTTCCAGAACTTATTAATCACCCCTCGTACATTGGGATGCGAGAAACTGGACGAACCGAAACGTCTCTGGGAGGCCAGATAGAGACGTTTCGAGGCGTCGTATAGAGACGTCGAGGTCTCCCACCTGGGAGGCGAGAGGCTCGAGGTCTCCCATGGCTCATAGGCGATGGATAAGGGAATCGCGTAGCGCACGCAATCCAGAAGTGTACGTTATTACGGAGGCCGATCTCACCAGTTGCATCGCGCATGGACGGGCGACTGCTGGCTTCAAGTTCCTTTCCCTGCTCGGTCGTCCGAATCTGCATTGCCGATTTGCATCCATGCGGTTTCCACGAACGTAAAAGAGACAGAAGATAGCGTATTCGTGATCGTTACATCTGCTAGGTGAGCTCGATGCGGTTCAGTTTCGAAGGCCCGAAATTCGGAAGGTGAAAAAAGTCGTGGGACCGATCATTTTCTCCTCGGACCGGATGCGCCTTTCAGGATGTTTCAATTTCCGCTCCGTTTCAAAATGCTTTCGATTCAATATAAACTGCCAACACTTCTGTTCAGCCTTTCGTTGCAACCACCTGCCACATCAAGCAGCGCGACCCATCAGGCGAAAAGACCGACCAAAACACCTTTCGTGCTCCCATTGTTACAAAATGACTTCTTGCCCATCGATGAGATGCTGGCCAGCCCAGATTGTTCGCCCACTAGTCACCACTCACGTGGCAGTATCCTTTCCTAGCCCCGTCGAACGTCCCAATCTGTATAGAATTTTATCCAGGTGCAACGAGTGGTCTATTGAATTCTATAGAACTACACTGTGAAAAATAACGGTTCAGGGTGGAACTCTTTGATGGTTCTACACCCTTAAAAAGGTTCCAGGTACTGTAGAACCATATGAATTGGTTCCAGCACAGATGTAGAACTTCTGGAACTAGTTGGTTCTAGGTACAATCATTTCTTGTGCTTTCTCAAAGTGGTTTGAGAAAGGATCCCTTCAGGGAATGATAGGTATTTTTTTCGCCATTCACTCAGAACCCCGCCTCTTCACTCCATCTATTTAAAAAAAAAATTGGAATGAATCCCCTGCATTTTTCCACACAGTACCCAATCTTTTCCCACGCACAACTTAAGGGAAGGCTTTGGAATCCCATAAAGACCCGTTCAAGGAGGTAACCTGGCAAAAGGAGACTCCAAATACTATTGACCAGGGAGTCCGTGGAGACATGCTCAATTTTCCTAAGTCTCTACATGGCGCTTGTAGGGACTCAAGTTTTTGTATCTCGTTCGAGAAAGATAGAGCGTGAAAATTGATTTGCGAGAATTTTTCTGGCCCCTCACCTAGAATGAAATAAATCTGGAGATGTGGCTGGACGTGTAATTCATTTGCTGGAGAGAACGAGTTGTATACTCAACTCTAATTCTGATCTAGTGAAGGAAATATAACCTACGCGGGACTCCTCCGGGACCTTAGTACTCAATAGAGTGCTATACAATCCCTGAGATCCTTCCTTGGTCCTGCGGAAGGAACCCTCCGTGAGACGACAGTACGTAATAGAGTAGTATCATCAATCTAATATGCATATAATCTTGGCACTTAATCGTTATTAGCTCTCGTTCAGGCCCAGGAAGTGGAGGAGGTACTGTAATGCCAAAATGTTGAGAAATCAACCTTTGCTCAAAGTTGGCATAACGATGTTTTGCCGAAAGGTGCTGATTCTGCGTGGAACCATGATATTCATGAAAGGGTTTTAAGGGACACCTTATGGAAAGGTGCTGCATGTAACCTTCAGAGGTGGTTCTCTATGGAACCATTAAACAGTTCCAAGAAATTTTCACTGTAGAACCAGTAAAGAGTTCCAGGGAGAACCATTATTTTTTTACAGTGTACTTTGAAAACTACGGAAGTCAATGAGTCTCTCTCTCTACATCGTTTTCGCCTGGGTAATTACTCGAAAGGGCGACGACGGAAGCCTTCCGACCAATCCAATTCTCTTAAATGATTTTAGAGACAGAGAAAACGAGAGACAAAAGAGGAAGCAAACAAGACCTGAAGAAGAAAGAGGAGGACGGCGTAAAAAAAAAGAAAAAGAAAGGACACAGAAAAAAAAAAAAAAATTTCAAGAAGTACTCGAGGAAAGAAGCGCGCATTTTGGATCTCTCGTTGAACGTACCTATGTGATTGGATACATTTTGTGACAAGGTAAAAGATTCTTTGCATACTATTGGCAAAAATACAATAATCTTTGGAATGTTGTACGGCTGCCCAGAGCTTCGATTTATTTGTTAACTCTCTAGTTTCAGGCTCCTTTGGATGAAACTTCTGAAAATTGTCTCAACTTTTGAATGAATGTCTTCTCAGCAAGAAATGATCATCAAGATCGACAAGATATGAGAAGCCGAGAGGCATCGGAGAGAAGGAAGAAGCAGTTCGGGAGACCCCGAACTTCTCGATTCTCGGGCTGAAGCCTGAAACGCGAAAGCATTTCCGAAAATCGAAAAAAGAAGCCTGAAATGCGAAATACAAAACCGATTGACTCAAGGAATCCGGGTTTCGACACCGCTCGCGTCACTCGCGGTTTCGAGGCGGAATAATGCATAAAACACGTGAATGTGATTTAACGAGCTAAAGTTGAAAGAAAAGAGACAAGAATCCTCATCTCGAAAGTACGCCAGCCGAACTTTCCCACACACTCCGATTTTCAGTGTCATCTCGGAATACCCCAAAATTATTCGTACTTTCATCGATTGTTAAAGTCTCATTCTCATCCCACGAGCATAATAATTTCACGACCCAGTCATGAATTTGAGTGGAATGAAAAAATTATAAGCCTATTCTCCCCCCCCCCCCCCACTCCACCCCCCTCCCCTCCAATGTCGCACGATTCCGCTCAGAATTCCGAACGTCTTTTAATTATCTTCCCACCATTTCCCTGCCGTTGGGATTGTTTGTCTCTGAACATGAGGAATGTGGGAATTTCGTGGAAACTCGGTTCGTCGAATGACGGGTTTCAGCAGCTCGTTTCGCAGTTTTTTTTTTCCGGCTCCTATTAACACCGGTTGATGGTCCTCGTCCGGAAAACGTGTCGTTTCAAGTTTTACCAGCAGTAATTGAAGTCGCAAGACTTGTATTCCACGCAGACGAGAAGAGAAATGAAAATGTCGCATCGATGGCAAGCGAATGGATTTCGCAAAAAAGGGCATCCGAATCGCATTATCATGCTCCTGACCAGGAAACTCGGCGCCATTCCCACTAATTTCATTCCCAAAATTGGAAGCCAGGTTTGATGTCGTTACATTTCCGGGGTGAGGCCTTTACTGGGCCTTTACTGCATTCTGCGATGTTCTCGAACGGCACAGTGATTAGGCGCTGGAGAAACCGATCTCCATAATACGATTCTTTTCGAGAGAGAAAGGCTTTAATGTCAGTCGTGGTACAAGGCTTATAATCTCTGAAACGGTACCGAGACACTCATTTTTTATCTGCGAAACGGTCCCGTTTCCACGAAACATTCTGCGAACAAGTCTCGTCTGCGAAGCAATTTTTAGGCTAAAACCCCCCCCCCCCCAATCCGTTGTCGCTGCGAACTGGAAAGAAATGACACCAAAATTTCTTACGATTCCTGGGAGACAGGACATAACTTCATAACTTGGTCAGAATTTTATTTTGCGTCCCACAGACACTATTGTCGTTCTTTTACTTTCATAGACCAAAATATTAACGTGTATAGTCAAATAAAATCAAAACTTTTAGATTTAGCCATTTGTTTAACGTTCTGGAGGAAATGCGGAATTTTTTTTCTGTCACTGAAATTTCAGCTAAGAATTGGAAAAGCAGAAGCGAATTATTACTTTCGGAAGTAATAATTTTAAAATCATTCCTACTAACTTGAACATTTAATTTTCACAGGTATAAGTGAAATTCATAGATCAAGTCAAATTTTGCGACTACAACCAACTTTTCTAGAACGTCAGTCCAAACATTTTCAATAGTAACGTTTCCAAGTTTTATTCTTTTAAAAAGCGGAATTTCTTGCACGAAGAGCTAAAATCGCGAAAAGTCACGATTCCCAAAGGGGAAATTTTCGACTAAAAAAGGGGAAAGTGAATGCTTGTCACTTGTTTTGAGAAGTAATATATACCAGTAGACTGAATTTAATAGAATTAAAATAAAATTAAGAAAGACAAACACACTCCCCCAGTTTCGTAAATCTCTGCTGGTTCTAGGATATAACGGAAACACAGCGGTTAAACGAACAGTAGCTAATCCTCTTAAAAACAAGTCAGAGTAAAGCCTTCGTGAAGGAAGCCGGTTCCGCATGGAAGCACCACGGGATTGATGGTTGCACTACCCCCTAGTGACCGTGAGAGGAAGTATAGTTTGTTTTTCCTCCAGGAGATGTCTTACGAGGAGCAAACAACGATGGCGACTTACTTGCGCCATGCGGCTGCAAGGAGTGATGAAATTTTCCCTAGACAGTTCTTTCGTTTCCAACGTGTAACAGAATGCAGCAAATGGGAATCAGTTTACATAATTGCGTTTACTTCCTTATTGCTGGGATACCATTAGGCTAACGGCAGTGTTTTTTATTATTATAAATCTGTTCTCAACATTGTTTTCAATCGAGTAGGCCCTGCGCGTGTCGTACGGCGTATTACACGTTTGGGCCAGACTGAGCCATCAATTGCAACTTTTCTAGAGTAGGCTTATACAGGCCTATATAGTTTTTCCAAGAATTATGTATTTGATCTTGTTTTGCCATATTCTGCATTTTCAGATTCCCCCTATCACAGGCTCTCATGAGAGGTACCTGACCACATAGCATTTCATTATGACCTTACATCATATTGTGACCACCAGATCCATGGACAGGGTCATCGTGCAATTTCTTCAGTTCCATAGAACTTTCCACCTGAAGGTTATTGTTTTTTTTTTCCAGTGGAAAAAAAAAAGAGAGATTGGATAGGAATCTTATTTCTCATATTTACTTTTCCAGGCAACTTGGAAAGATATCAGTAGGCGTAGAAACATCCTGCAGAGCGTTTGGGAAAGATGGGGACCTGCTCTCTGCACTGGTTCACCTCCAAAGGGTTTTGAGAAGTATTTCCCTGGGGGAAAGAAAGATGCAAAAAAACAAGAAGAAACAGAGGACAAACAAGACCCTGAATCTCTTCCCCCACCACCAAAGAGGGAGTCTTCGAGTCCTCCAGGCAGCAAAGATCCGCCATGGAAGGATTTTAATATTTTCAGCACATCTCGGGGGTATGTGTTGCACTTTTGACATTATGGAACTTTGTCTTGCTATTCAGTGGTATCAATGGCTAGCATTTTTAGTAAGCAAACATTTGCATTTCCTTCACTGCCTGTTTGTCACAGTGTCATTTGTCATGGCCCAATTTCTAGTTCCAAAACTGGAGGTGGAGGAGGAGGAATGGGAGATGGAGATCGAGAGAGACTGGTTGCCATTGGAGTTCTCACTGCTCTTGGTCTCATAGGAGCTCTCACCATGTATGAAATGAGTTACCGTGAAATCACATGGAGGGAGTTTGTCAATGAGTAAGTCAGTTTCACTATTTTCAGAAATCCTCAGCTCACATGGAGAACTCGGCTGTCATTGGTTAAGATTCATCTACCAAGTCAATCATACATGTCATTTGCAGCTACCTTGCCAGAGGAACAGTAGAGAAGTTGGAAGTCGTGAACAAGAAGTGGGTCCGTGTTCGTCTTCACCCAGGGGGCTCTGTGGATGCATCAGTTTGTCCTTGTTACCAACTTATTCTTGGTTGTATGTCTTGCATTAGTAGATTGATATTTATCATTTTTCCCATGCAGACCACCCTGTGGTTCAACATTGGGAGTGTGGATTCCTTTGAGAGAAACCTGGAATCAGTGCAGTTGGAGATGAACACAGAGCCTCAAAATTTTCTGCCTGTGATTTATAAGACTGAATTAGAAGCAGCTTCCATTTCTGGGATTTTGCCCACTCTACTTATCATTGGTGCGTTTTTCTTTGTCTGTATCTTTTTGTATTATTTGCTCAAGCAAGTTCTAAAATACATGTTTGGTGTCATTTTTTGAATTATTTTATGAATTTTTATGGGTTTGTCATCACAGGTTTCCTTATTTTCATGATGAGAAGATCAGCACAAATGATGGGGGGTCGGCCTGGCAGAGGAGGTCGAGGCCTATTCGGAGGTGTCATGGAATCAACAGCCAAACTTGTCAACCCCAGTGAAATTGAAGTGAAGTTCAAGTATGGTATCACATTGAAGCATCAGTTACTTGCATATGTTATGAGGTTTCTTGGTCATTGATGGGATATGCTCAAAAACCCTTCTTTCAGAGATGTTGCTGGGTGTGAGGAGGCCAAAGTAGAAATATTGGAGTTTGTCAATTTTCTCAAGAATCCTCAGCAGTATTTGGAGCTTGGAGCCAAAATTCCCAAGGGGGCCATTCTCACAGGTGATTGCCAATCAAAGTTAATGTAACCTAGATGTTGTGAGAGGTGTTAGTTTCCTGTCCTCATTGAACTGTTTGTTGGGGAAATATTTCAGGTCCCCCTGGAACAGGGAAAACCTTGTTGGCCAAGGCAACTGCTGGAGAGGCAAATGTCCCTTTCATCTCAGTTTCTGGATCTGAGTTTTTGGAGATGTTTGTTGGTGTTGGTCCTTCCAGGGTATGTACCTTGTATTCATTCTCTGGTCCCAACTTGAAAATTGACTAAATGCTGTCAAATAGTCATTCGCATGTTCTACCATGCTATTCTCCCATGCAGGTGAGGGATATGTTTGCAATGGCTAGGAAGCATGCTCCTTGCATTCTGTTTGTTGATGAGATTGATGCAGTTGGGAGAAAAAGGGGAGGCAGAAGTTTTGGAGGTCACTCTGAGCAGGAAAACACTCTTAATCAGCTCCTTGTTGAGATGGATGGTCTGTGGTTTCTCCTTCATTAACACTGGACAGATGGTTTATTTGAAAAAGACTGACTTAATCATGACTCTTCTTTATAGGTTTCAACACTGCAACAAATGTAGTAGTGCTTGCAGCTACAAATCGGATGGACATCCTTGACCCTGCCCTGCTAAGGCCAGGACGTTTTGACAGGCAGATTTTTGTACCTGCTCCTGATATCAAGGGTAGAGCTTCCATCTTCAAAGTTCACCTCCGCCAACTCAAGACAAAATTGGACAAGATGGACTTGTCCAGGAAGATGGCTGCCCTCACACCTGGTTTTACTGGTATACCTTCTTTAGTACAGAGGTCAGCATGCTATATCCCAATGTCATTGTTCCTATGTTCATATATTTGTCTGGTCTTGTAGGTGCTGATATTGCAAATGTGTGCAATGAAGCTGCCTTGATAGCAGCCCGTGATATGTTCCACGATATAACCATGAAACATTTTGAGCAGGCCATTGAGCGAGTTGTAGCTGGTATGGAAAAGAAAACAAATGTCCTTCAACCAGATGAGAAGAAGACTGTTGCATATCATGAGGCAGGACATGCAGTGACTGGCTGGTTCCTGGAACATGCTGATCCCCTCTTGAAGGTCAAATTTTTCTGTCATAGATATATTTTATATCTGTTTGCAGCCACATGTTACCCTTTCAGCCAATAATCACTGCCTAGTAGCCAATGATAAAACTAATAATAATAATTGGCTCTACAACCATTTTCTAGTTGCTTATTATCTTGGTCTCATCAGTCAACAAGCTTACATCTTTCATTACTTTTCCTATCTTCTTCTCTGACTGGACTTTGCTTCCTTCCACCCTCTGGGATTAAAGTATGTTTTCCTCCAACTTTAATCCTTCATCAATATGCCTATCCCTACCAGAAAAAGAAACTCATTTGAGTTGGAAATCAAACCTGGAACCTTATGTACAAGGTGTAGAGAAAAAAAGCAACCACTGTTTGAATTTTTATATCAGGAAATTAGTCATTGCTAATGTAATGAAAGTTTCAGGATATAAACCTCCACATATTGTATTCTGTGTAAAATTTTTCATGAATTTTTGTTTCACCACAGAAGTGTTTTGAAGGTTGAAAGTAAAATTTGTATCAATTGCTACACATTGTTAACCTCATGCCAGGAAGTTGATTGTATTGTTTGTAATCATGCAGTTGTCTAAGGCAAACATATAGTATTGAAACATGTTTTCTGGAAGAAAATAGACAATTCTCCAATGAAAACCACACAGCTCCTCAGTGCTGCAGAGCAGGTGCAAGGACATCCCATCATGGATAAGTTCAGTGAGTCACCTTGGACTCATGAGGATTTCCAAATATTTTACTAATTAACTTTTAAAGTGCTTGCTTGACTAAACCATCATAAGGAGAATTCTTAAGAAAAAAATTTACTTTACAGAAGATGTGTATTGTAGATGTATATCTGTTGGGACATGCTCAGTATTAACTGACTATTTTTCAGATGTAAATATTTCAACAGCTGCACTTTTTTTGTGCTAGGCACCCAGTATGTATGCTAATTTTTAACACTCTCTCTCTCTCACTCAGGGATAAATTATGATGTGCTTTCTTATGAAGATGTAACTCAAGTACTAATTATTTACTGATTAATAATAGCTAATTACTAGCTAACTATATCTATAACTATTTTATATCTCTGGACAAACCATGCAATGCCTGCATATTTCAGCACCTGCACTTTTCAGACCCTTTTATTGTCTTGCTCCAAATGTGGGTTTCTTAACCACTTAAAACTTACTTGAAGTGATGACTTTCTACCTTTGTAATTACTGAGGGAAATGCTGCAAGACCTACAGAAAACACCAACCTCATGGAAAGCAGCCTGATGGTTGACTGGACTAATGAATAGCCAATAGACATTAGGGGTACTACTCCAAAAAAAGAAAAGGATAATAGGTACTGGGAGCAATTAGTTCAGTTGATAACTGATTTCTCCCACCATGGAATTCAGATCAGTGTCTACATGCTTGTGTTCCAGGTCTTTTCCAATTCCATTAAAAGTTTTGAAGGTGAGAAGATGAAAAAATCATTTTGCATGAGAATTTGTCTCCAGCAGGAGTAGGGTGTCCCTTTTTAAGATAAATGTCATTATCTGGAGCAGAAATGAGGTAAGTCAACCCATAGATGCTCTTTTGGGAATCAACCATACCATCCTACCAGCTGTGGCTGACCCATTGGGCCTCCCACTCTTTGTTCCCATGATAAAAGGAATAGCTATTTGGGTAGATTAACACTTTGTTCTTCCCCCTCTCTGCAATGTTGGAAGAGTATTTTATTGGTATGTAATGCCTAATTATCATAGTATTATGTTGTTTTTCTAATGTAGGTATCAATAATTCCAAGAGGGAAGGGGCTTGGGTATGCTCAGTACCTACCCAAGGAGCAGTACCTTTACACAACAGAGCAGCTGTTTGACCGTATGTGCATGATGCTTGGTGGGAGGGTGTCAGAAAAGATTTTCTTCAATCGCATCACCACTGGTGCTCAAGATGATCTCAAGAAGGTTACTCAGAGTGCCTATGCTCAGGTATTTCACTCTCTGACTCAAGCACCTTATTTTATTTTTCATAAATGATAGTTTTGCTCTTTTTGGCATTGTTTTCCAGGTTGTCCAGTTTGGCATGAATGAGAAGTTGGGCAACTTGAGTTTTGACTTGCCTTCCCAAGGAGAAATGGTGCTGGAGAAACCGTATTCAGAAGAGACTGCACAGATTATAGATACAGAGGTCAGAAAACTTGTCCAGCGAGCCTACGATAAAACTCATGAGCTTCTCACATCACATAAGGGAAACATCCTGAAGGTCAACAGGGGCAATTTTCTTTTTTGACATTATGTGAACATAGAAATTCATGCCCTTTCATTCCACATCAGGTGGCTGAAAGACTCCTGGAGAAAGAGATACTGAGCCGAGAAGATATGATCGAATTGCTTGGTCCCCGTCCATTCCCTGAGAAATCCACTTATGAAGAATTTGTAGAAGGGACAGGCTCATTTGAAGAGGACACTACACTTCCTAAGGGACTTGAGAGTTGGAATGAGGAAAGAGTTCCTGAAAAGGCCCAAAAGGATGAAAAGGAACCAGCTGCCTCTTGACATTGTCTAGTCAACAGATGTGGGATATTTGCCATATAGTTCCATCATGCATCAACCTGTTTTTTTTTTTTTTAGGCCTACTGGTGCATCATGAGATCAGTAATGATCCATCCTCAGCACTGTAGATTGACCCCATCTACAGATGTATAGATCCAAAGGCCTTTTATTTGTGATAAAAGATGTCAAAATTAATACATTACAGTTGAGGCCTGGTGGTCAAGTAGATGAAGTGGTTATTAGTTTCAGCCCTTGTTTTAGGTTGATCCTGATTATGGTCTGGTCAGCCATGACATCACAAAATCAGCTACACAAGTCTGGAGCATTCCAATAGACTGACTAAATTATATCAAAATAATACTGAAGAGGAATCATCAATGATTGCATACTCCAAAAATTTCCCTTCATACTACTTGACTATATGGCCATCCATTTGCTATGAAACTGACTACAGAACTGAAACCAACTGTGCTAAAATGTCCAACTGGCCATTTTACCCTGAGTTTTCATTTAACTCGGGGTGCTCCTCAATCAAATGTCAGATGGTCTCTGCCACAAGGAATGCAAGTTTATTAAGCTAGTGCCCAATCACTCTACCCACGATTGCAGGCTAAGAACTGTCTGCCTGAGCCACAGGAAGAATTCTTCCTAAGGATTGGCAGTATGCCTAGATCACATGTCAAAATTCCAATAATAGGGCACAAATACACTTGGCTTCAGGTACAAAGGAATTCAGCTGGGAGATTCTCATTGTGATTACTCTCTTTCAGACTTCAGTCATGAAGCAGAAAGCATTGGAGGCATTAGCATGGCTTTCACTTGGGAGAATAGCTGCCCAATTTCTGGGTCATCTTCTTCATATGCTTTTATCATCTGCACAAATCTGATGAGCCCTGAAAACAAAGTAACTGTTGAATCAATATGCACTTTCAGAAGTGAATGTTTGCTGTCACCAGCATAGGCAAGACATGACCACTTACCATCACCACCCTTCTGGAAGCCATACTTTGTGATGACATCAAGTTGCATATCAGTTGCCATAGGGAATACTAATTGCATATGCTTGACCATATCGTCTCCAGCTGCCGTTGAAGCTTCATTCAATTTGGTTGCATTTTGAGGATTATGGAACGCACTGAGGATGTCCGACAGAGCACCTATAAGAGATTAAAGATATCGTCATTAATGTCGAAAAAAATCATTCCTGCCTGAGAGGCTGGCAAGGAAAAGCCTGATTTCATTTTATTATTATTTTTTTTCATTCGTACGTTTGGCATCATCCACGGTGAATGAGAACGGAGAAGAATCGGCAGCTCCTTCATCTGCTTCACAAGATTCCTCTCCGTTTACGTTTGACTGAGAGGATCTGTCACTTTCCATAGTGACAATCAACACTTATTTACGTTATATCATTGCTAATGAACAATACAAGAATCACGAATGGTTGAAGGCCCACGACGGAAATGAACACGAAAACGATGATAAGAGGAGTAATCACGAAAAGGCAATGTTTTCAGTATAAAACAGCAATGCGCACAATTGAGGTGACGACTATGAACTTTTGGCTTTTTAGCGTAATGGAAAAAGCTGTCGAACTCAATTGAAAAACTGGAGAGGATGTGATAGCATGAGTGTCAGTGGGCTACCATAATGGTAACTTTGGCGACGTCATTGACATGGCCTCCTTCTTTCTGCATGCACGTGAGGCACAGGATCGCCCGGTTTGGCTTACAGTGATTTTTCGCGAGTCAATTCGTGCCTCCTTTATTATGGACTCCGTAGGCGTAATTTCACCTTTTTCCATGTGAAACAAATCCTCGCCTCCTTCCGTGTTCCATGAAAGTAACAATCACAATATTGGAAGGAAGTACGAATATATTTGCAAATCACTGTACTGGAGAACTTCATGACTCATTCCTAACGTGGCCCTCGCGATCTTGAGATGTTACAGTGATTTTTCGATTGGTTGACCCTCCCCCCTACTGAATGGCGCCATTTAGTATCCAACTGAACGAAATCTGCAGCCTCAAAGTAACTTCCCGGCTAAATGGATGACAAGTAAGATTCCTACTTCTGCCGCAATTCGAGGGGGAAGAAGGATGCAATCAGTGGAATATTATTGGAGGTGACATTAGATATTTTTCAAACTGAACTCACTTTGTGGTGGGCCCCTAACATGAGAATCAGGCCAACAATGGTAAACATAATCTTTTTAGACATATAATAGATCTAATCAGATTCCCATTGCCATAGGCATAAGTATGCCTATGCATTTAATCGAAAAGTGGTCTTCCAGTCACCTTATAGCCCTATCACCCTGTAATATGTTAACATTGAAAACTGAGGGGTATTTGAATGCATTCCATCCCCAGGGCAGCTTTGAGTCAAATGCCTTCAACTGAAAATCACTGAGAAAGATCAATTTGGCATTAGACTCAGTCAAATCTGGTGTATGTTCTTCACTGCTTTCTCTATTGTCTCCCAGGGAATTCAAATTGCTTGCAAAAAATTCGACAAAAAAGACAAATATAATTTGCCTACCCCTTTTAACTTGCACATAGTGGTCTTATGGTAGGCTACTTTACCCAAACTTGAGTAACCTTGGGGTTAGGTGAATTTCTTGCATGGAATCAGCAGCTCATAGGTTTTGCTTGTAATACCTTTACAGTTCCAAACACAGCTGCCTCAATCTGTCTAAAGTTATGTTATTCTTATCTTTCAGTGTTTTTTTTTCTATGAAGAGTAGATCTTGCTCCCACTCATGTGTTAAAATTCTTCCTGTGCTCATGAAACTCTCAGTGCAATGTCTGCCTATTCAAGAACTGCTGATGTGCAAAGTGGACTGAGCAAATGGCAGATTGCTTTGCTTGTGGGTGTGCCAATTTGTGCAGTTGGAGCTGGCTATTGGTACTATAGGTACCAATGGAAGTCTGCATTTCCCTCAAATGTCCTAGGAAAGGACCCTCCAAATGTAGGAGGAACATTAAAAGCCTCCACTGACGTCAGCAAGACAACATCTGCAAAGACTTTAAAGGAAAGCAGGCAGAAAGTTTTGGTGAGGATGGACTTGATGGTTAAAAGTTGAAAATCTGTTAATGCTGCTATCCCCTAATCTATGCAACTGTAGGGCTTGTCTTTCATGCATCTATGAGTTTATTGCGTTTCCTTCTGAAGAAAGATATGAGTGGGGTAGAAAAGTTCATGGACTTCATATTTTTTGTTAAGAGAAGGATGAGACCTTGCAAACTCAGGCTATTTTCAACATAACCTCCCTTTACTTCCATGCATATTCTTAAATGAATCCAGCTACTATACCATTCTTGAGGTTGCTGTCATTGACATCAATGACAGATGTGCCCAAGTGTAGGTCATCATCAACTAATGTGTCTGCTCTTAACCTGTATTTATGGGGTTTTTTGAATACTTTGATCTCCTCATGGCTGAAATTTAATTCTGCCCCTGTCAACCTCAAGGCTTTGTAAATTACAAAAATGATATAATCATTATTTTTAGTTCTATGACAATAAAAAAAAACACATAAAAGAGCGAAAGTCACTATTTATATTTGCAAACTTTCATCCTTTCCCGCGTAAAATACTGAAGTTTCGCAACTGTGATTTCTATCTTCTTTTTTTGGATATTCGTATCTAACATATGATTTTCTTCTCAAAACAAGGATGTGACATTGTAAGTACTTATGTATGAACGTGATTTGAATGTGAGTGATGTATGTCCAAGTAATCCCTCAAGTTTCTGAACACCGTACTAGTGAGAAGCAAACTTGTCTGAAGAGCTCAGAGTATCAGCAAAGTCGATTGTATAAAACAAATATTTATAAGAAAGCAGAGCCAGGCATGAATGAAATGACTGTGTAGGAGCATGCACCAACCTCATTACATGATGATTACATCATTTGTTCAGGTTAAAAGCCTACCCAAGGTCCAGAGGAGCTCCTTGATGTGATTTTTTGTGCAGCGTTAGGTATATAGCATTTTTATGATAAAGGTTAAACCATTCTACCCATTTGAACACTGCACTCCTCTTTAACCCTTTCATGCCTGAATTTTTAGAATGATGCGCTCTTGCGAGACGTTTCCTTGACTCGCACTGATAAAATGAAGTTATCTTGCCGACGGGAGCCGGTCTGATGAATTAATGCTGCCGATAACGGTATTCCTTCGTCTTTGCACACCTGGCTTTGTGCCGTGCACACCAATCGTGCCCACTGTTAGGGGCGATGCTAGAGTTCATAATTGCGATAGATTGTGGGTGTTGTACACGTGCGTACTGCAACCTGCGACCGTCACTTTAGAAGTGAGTGCTGTTCTTCCAGATGGGAAAGGGAGTAATCATGAGCTGCAGTGGTACTCCCACGCTCAACGTGCACTGCTCGACGTAACGGCGAGCAGGTACAGTTAGGCACACTGATTTCTGCAACCAGGCAGAAATTCTTCTAGCATACTGAATAGCGGAAGTGCCATCCCGCAAGTGAGAAGATAGAAGGGCCATATCCGGATCACGGACTGCCATTCTTTGGCAGTGTCATACCGAGGATATTTGGCGCCCTGTGCGAGATATCCCGCCCCGCCCCTCCCCTCCTGTCCGAGATATCCCGCCCCTCCATCCCTCCCTCCCTCCCTATACCAGGGGTGTGCAACCTTTATCGGCAGTGGGCCGCATGGAAATGTCTGACTCTTCACGCAGGCCATAGAATGCAAAAGAAAAGGCTTCCCGCTTTTGCCCCTAAGGGCATAAGGTCGCTCTGATTGGCCGGTGATTCTTACTCCCGCCCCACCCCTAGGAAATTCCAATGCCAAAAATTAGCCTTTGGCATCGAGAACCTTCTTCCTCGATATATACGTAGCCCCCCCCGCGTGATGAATAATAGAGAGCTTTGGTTACCCGTTCTTGAGAGGACGGCTGACGTCACTGGTGACGTCACCAGCAGTTTTAAAACGCGTGAGAAAGACGTCTAAGACGTGGAGGGACTCTTCCAGCCGTTCTCTCAGGAACGTGATCGCGACGCAAGATCCACCAATCAGGAACGACTTGATAGGCGCGTCCAGCAGTTTTAAAACGCGTGAGGAAGACGTCTAAGACGTGGAGGGACTCTTCCAGCCGTTCTCTCAGGAACGTGATCGCGACGTAAGATCCACCAATCAGGAACGACTTGATAGGCGCGTGAGCTTCGGTACAACGCGTGATTCGTTCAAGTCAGTCATCCAGGAAGGAAAGTCACTATTGATGGCGAAGCAGCTGAAATTCAAGGCACAGTATGCCCGGTTGGATTTCTAGACAATCGTCTCGCGTTTGCAGCAAGGGTTTCCTGACTGATAGAAATATACGTTTTGCTCAAAATGGGTTTCTGGACAATTGTCTCATATCCACAATTTGGGTTTTAGCCAAATATCCCCCAGGACAGCCACTGCTATGTCCTTTTCGCCATCAGAGAAGTAGGATGCAACCCAGACATGAACTTCGGTGACCTTGCCATGAGAGATGGACAGAAATGAAGCATAATATGTTATTGGGGATGGTGAATGATGGGAAAATAGGACAGAGGAACTCTGGTTGTAGCCAAGGATTGCAATGTCTATATGCGACCATGATGAACAGACAAAGGAATCAAGAACGTTAGTCTAATAGGCAAACTGAGGCATTCATTCCTATTGTGAAAACCCTTTAATAGGAAAGAAAGTTTAATAACAGTAGATCAAAACAAGGGAGATATGCATAACATTAGGATATCTGGGGGTTTGTGAGTTTACAAGGTTGTACCTTAGCTGTGTATCACTGAGTCGATCATACCCCTAAATTAGGTGTCGTTTGCACACCATCTGCGGTGAGAGCCGTAGATGTTACTCTCCGTTCCAGATCTGGAACGCGTAGCCAAACTGCCATTCGAAAATCTAGAACTTGAACGCCTAGTAATTCGTTCGCGTCCCCGTCCTCCTCAAAAACGGGTAACCAAAACTCTCTAATGTGAACGAGAACCTACGCCGCACCTTCGGCGAAGCAGCAGCAAGGCTGCGGCGAGGCCTCGCCGAAGGACAATGTGAATGGGCCTTTAGTCGCAAGAGATGGTGCAGGAAGCAGGGTTTCCATCTTTCCCCTATAAAGGCTCCGCACAGCGAGATAGTCTCGTTCGTCTCCAGCATTGTACTGTTCGTCTGTGCGGTCCGAATATTTTCTGACGATTTGCCTATAGCTGTCAAGAAAGGGTAGATTGAGACGGGGCAGAAAACCGACCGTTCCTCCTGCGAACGTCGTTCTGATCACGATAGAACATGGATGGAGTCATCGGTGAATTCTTCGCCTTACCTCCTTCCTGCCATTTTCTCCAAAATGTTAGGGTACGAAGGAGATAGCATCTTTTCTCTGTCTCCAATAATTTGAGTGACAAGATATGAAAGGTGTTTAAAAAAAAAAACGAGGCTGCCATCATGCCGGCTTTGTCTCTGTTGAATAATTTAATGAATGATGCCTCTGTGTCAGGCTTAGACGGAAAACACCTTTGCCTTGTCTCCTTAAAAATTAGAACCCTTCTTGGACAGATGCCCCAGCACGAACTCTCTCTACTCGTCTCGAACTCTAGTCCTAGTTTCCAGGAACTGCTAACGGTTGCCTGGACAACTAGCGCGCCACGAAGTGGAAAGGAATCCATAAGAGTAGCGTGAATGGAATAAGTGGGGGGGAGGAACTACTCTTAGCTCAATATCTAATTAGATGAACTCCTCTAAATATACGCTATTGTTTGTCTCATTGTGGCCCAAAATGGCCAGAAAATACCCCCCTCTTCCCCCTCTTCCCCCTGTTCTACCCCCGGGGAAGGAAATGTCACATCCTAGTTTACCATCTGGTATGGAACTTCGCCACCATTCGATGAATCGTAAAAGCTATTTAGATTAAAACAGGATTAGCTGCACTTTTACTCATGGTTTGAGACTCGAGGGATAGGGCCTTGGGCCATCATGGCATGCTTCATGCAATACTACTGTAGATATGGAAAACGTTCCGGACTCCTGATCTTGTTTTGCATCGTTCGCACCACTAAGGGTCTGGCTCTTTCTTGGATCTCGCGCATAATTTGGGAAGAAGGGAGTGACAGCCCCCCACCTAGTTTGAGTAGTGCCCCCAAGGGTGGTAGCTAAAAAGAGACCTTGTTCACTAATATGTTGTTTTAGGAGTGTTAAAAGAGTTTGAATTTTTGAATCTGATGATGGTTCTTGAAGGAATCGATGGCGTAGGAAACCTGGTCTCATCTAGCCCTGCGGAAAGTGCTGTCCGTTTTTACAAGTAACTGCTCTGTAGAGTGCATGAAACCTCTTTGATGTTGGGAGCCTGCATCCAAACAGGTCCTGCTGGTATTTAATGATGCCTCTACTTTGTCGAACTGATACGGGACAAAACTTGAGCTCGCTTCACACTGTTCATTTTACAGAGGTCAAGAGGTGCGGGTTCGTTTCCAAGTTTGAGTTGGTGTCCAAAAGTGAGTGCTCCCGATCACTGTGAAAAATCGACATTCCTGTCAGTTGACTACTGTCGCTGCTGCTGCTGTACGTATTATATTATCTGCCTTTTCACAGGCATGGCACACTTCCCCCTATCATAAACGAGATAGTGGTTTAGTTTACGTGATGTTCCACCAGAAATTTTTGCTTTTTGTTTTTGTCAGTCTGTAATTAGCTTTGTGGGAGTGGAGACCTTATGTCTGTCGGAATAAATTTATTTATGATTTGCTTTGTCAGACAAACGCAGTTGGTAGTGTCGAGTGCCTGGAATCTTGTTGAAACTTAGTTGGAACTGTTATTCATGAACGTTCTCCCTTCTTATATTGGTATTCTCATCATTTGGAGCCATGTGCAAAGCCAATGGATGAAGTCGACTCTCGTCACTTCCATGTGCCATGAGTGCTTTGCATGTAGGTACAGAGTAGATAATTCTGAATAATGGAGTATGAAAGTTGCACTGCATGTCCTCATTAATTCAAAGGTTAGTGTGTGCTTCATTTATGATATTGTGAACCAGAGACGAACCTGACGTATTGAAGGTAAAGGAACAAAAGTTCGTCGCCTCAAATTAAGTGGATAGTGAGTGATCCAACTTATATTGAAATGGTCTAAATTACTTGCCTTAAAATTCCTAAAGAAGGAGGTGAACATGCAACTAGTGACTTCAGTCACAAATTCTAACACATCAGCCTATATTTGGCTATACATTTTTATTATCATATTATCTCTAGTAATTTATATTGCATGCATAAAAAAGTAAATGTAGATCCAAATTAGTTATACTTACTCTTCTTCAGATCTCAAATCCTTCCTCTTCCTTTTTTATTTGTGAGTGGTGGAAGTTATATAAAGACGAGAGAGATGACTCGTTTCTGCCCTCCAGTGGCCCCGTTGCCATGGAAACATAGCCATCAGTCAATACAACTCCCCTGTACTGTATTATAGCTCTTCTGCACAATAATGGGGAGCTTCCTTTGAAAGAAATGAAGACGCGAAAATGCTAAGTTATGGAAATATCCTAGGGGTATCCTTGTAGAATGTCAGCTGGCTCAGGTGAATCCTTTGAGAAGGAATTTATTGCAGGAGTAGGAGGATAGCACTTGGAGCAAGAGTAGACTCTAATCGGATACTCGAAGGCGTCTGAAAACTTCAAGGAGAAAGATGACGTTAACGTTCTTTGGCCAGACAACCAGAAGCGTTTCAGAGTTTTCCTAAATATTGTCCAAAGGGTAGAGATTGGTAATTCCTCCTTTTGCTGAGCGACAGGATTCGCATGTCTCTTTCCTCACAACTATTTCCATGGATTTCTATGGATGGATTTAAAAAATGTTCAGAGGTTCTTCAAAATGTAAGAAATGTGATCATATTACTGACTTCAGATGGTTATCTCGATTTTCTTGTCATCCGTTAATGTCATTCTGACGGATGAATCAGGAATCCGACGAAAGGATTGTACATCGAAACCCGCGTGTCTCATTACGAATGCTTTTCATGCTTTTGTCTTCATTTCCTTTTTGTCCTTTCAGTCATTATCCTAATGCGGCACCGTTCTCGGCGACCATCGNCCCCCCCCCCCCCCCCCCCCCCCCCCCCCCTCTCCCCCTACACCCATCCTTAATTGAGAAAAAATTTTGGCAATATCCTTCTTGGGACGCCGCTTTCTTCTGGGTTGAGATGTATTGTCCTACAAAATATGAATTCTCACTCCGTTTGGAAATAAGGGAAAGGAAAGGATTCCATGGGACCTTTGGTGTTCCTGTGTTTCGTTCTTCCGCTCCGGTTCGATACAGGAGTACTCGTGTTCCTGTTAAATGTTTTTTTTTTTTAGCTCTAATTTTTTGGACGAGCCGATGTAAGTTTGTGTTCACGCATGAATCGTTTGGTATTTGAATATTAAAACAGGATTTACACGCTCATGACAAGTTCAGTCTGCTCCTGTCAAAATTGTGGGTGATTAAGTCAAGAAACTCCACATTCTCGTGCATCGAGAATGACTTTGTTCAAAGGCATTTATGCAAGGAACTCATCATTTTCTCAACGGAGGCGAACGTGTCTTTCAATGCATCCAGTTTCACTTGATTACTAAACGATTTTATTCAAATCTATGTTTTTCAATGATACTTTGATTTTAAATGGAAATCGTGGACCGAAGACATCGTTCAGAGAATGGAAATCGTTGCGGGGAAAACGGGAACACGCCACATTGGAATTCTTCATGCTTCTCATCATTTTCCCCACTTATCTTTCTCCCTCTTAAGGTCTCCAAAACTGGGACAATTAAAAGGAGAAAAAGGGAGATTCTTAGCATTTATTGTTTTTCCGATGGTCGCCGAGAACGGTGCCGCATTAGGATAATGACTGAAAGGACAAAAAGGAAATGAAGACAAAAGCATGAAAAGCATTCGTAATGAGACACGCGGGTTTCGATGTACAATCCTTTCGTCGGATTCCTGATTCATCCGTCAGAATGACATTAACGGATGACAAGAAAATCGAGATTCGACAGTCATACGAGTGTCGCAACATTCTAGAGCCGTTGGCACACGACCGAACGAACGTGACCTGGACAATAAATAACTCTTGAGATGTGTAAGCTGAATTCGGAATACTCTTTATTGTTCTTAGTGAGACAATCCCAAAGAAGGTAAAAGCCATGATTCCGGCGGTTTGAAGCCCGAATGACGTTTAAAACCCCTATACCCCTCTATGTACACGATGAAAGACTGGCAGGTACTTGTAGCCATCGATGTTGGTCGGTTGGCACGGTCATTCCTCTCTATCACATCAAGCAAATCTCTTTCATTCACCCTTAAATAGGGAGCTCCACGAATCGTTCATGCTTGTGCCGAGGCCCAACCATCGAAATTTCGTGGTACTCATTGCTGTAAGAAATGCCGAAAGGTTAACGAGAGGATGTCTTGGCCTCTGGGGTGTAATCTTAATTCCTATTAAAACCTGTATATTATAAAACCGCTTACCGGTAGTCCTTTACTCGATTATATCGGTTGAATTCCTTCTTTTCAAGGAGTTTCAGGATTTGAAGGTCATAAAACTCTTTTAATTGCCTTTGGTGACGATGAGATAGTCATCGTTTGAGAAAGAAGCAAATACCACCTGTGAAACCTTCGTTGATGTCTGGAATAATAATAATTTCCTTCAGATTTCATTGTGATCAAAGTAGGCCATGGGCAACAGCGTAACTGGAAATGTGCAGAAAGAGGGAAAAAAAAATTCATAAACCGGTATTCACTCGTTCGATGGATGATCAATGATTTAGTAATACTGCGATTTGGCTCCTTCTTCGGCTTGAAGACGTTTCAGCTCTTCGTTTCGATAGAAGGGGTTATAGAGTCGATCTGCATTCAGACTGCAATAAATAATATCGATGGCTGAAGACCAGAAGATGAACTGAAAGTAGAAGCAGAAATTTAGTACTTAAAAAAAAATTGAAGCATTCTGGAAGAAGGCAAATACCACATAATTAACTAATTAACCTATCTGCAGACAGGGAAGCATATTTGAAACCGATCGAATAAGGTAAAAAAAAAAAGCACTGACTTATAGTGGTTGGTGGCCTCGGCGCAGTTGACGTTGAACCACCAGTCGCAGGTGAAGGCGGCCTGATTGAAGACGGTCCCGTTTATGCAGAGGAACGTCGCTCCCTGTGGCCCGTATCTCCCATCGTCGCAGATGTGATAGGCCTGCGACAGATCGTGACTCGTCGGTATCGAAAAAGATGTTCGGCTCATGGATTTATTTTTTACGTTTCGTTATACCTGGCATCCGGTCTCGACGTTTGCGTACATCCCGGGTAGAACGGGGACCTTTTCGCAGTTGAAGGAGGTCTCGGGGGCCTGATGGTAAGTGGGGTAGTCTTTCCCGGGTACACCGGGGATCTTATTCTCTTCTTCGTATCTTGGAGGTGCCGGTTCCTGTCGGGCAAGTCCAAAATTCCTTGTATTTTTGGGAATTCAGATTCTGAACGTCGAGATAAGATCCCTGTTCATTAATTCTTCTCCCCTAATAACCGTGTTCATTCATCGATCTGTACGTGTACCCAATATGTAAAAATGACGCGCACAAGAGGGTTCTCATTCTCCATTGGAGATGTTTGACCATGACCTTACGATTTTCTGATTCACCCAAGAGTAAGAGTAAGGCATGGGACAGTTATCGTTCGTGTGTACGTCGTGAACGGGCTGAAATTCGAATGAATCATCCCCGAGAGTAAAATTTTGATCCTAGAAGGTGCGAGAAGGAAATCGCGTGAGATAGTTATGCGAGAAGGGAGTGCTCCCCTTGGCGAAAGGAAAAGAACGGTTTCTTCCATGCCCCGAGGATATGGAACAAGACGGAGACTGGCTGAGATAATCGAGATGATGCAACCAGCCTCAGGTTCGCCTCCTCGATCATAATAGACGCACCGGGGTTCTCACTTTCTACGAATCACCCCAGCCCTATTGTTATGAAACGGGCTGCAGGACAGTTTTGTCCCTTCGCCGTGCACGCAGGACTGTTTCGTCTTCTCGACGTCCATGCGGCCGAGAAAAGATGCGAGGAAAGAATTCATTTTTTACTTTGAAAAATTGAAAAGGGAAAGAAAAGGGGCACCTGAAGAGGCCAGGGAGGCGTTCCTTCTACTCATGTTCTAAGGGGTGGAACATCTGAACTCGGATGAGTACAAATCATCATGAAACACGTGGGGGAGACTGGGACGATGGTATAGTGGAACAATTTTTCGAAATTGCCATAAATCTATATCCATGACCCTAGTAGCACCTATAATTGAATCAACATCCGAAAGTTGAATCAGCATTTAATCAAGGTTGATTCAATGTTATGTGCTACTGGAGGACAGGGAAAGTTTTGAGAATATAAATGGTCTGCTGGAGGACACCTCGGGAACAATAGATGTCAAGGCTCTTCACTTAAGTAAAGTAAGTTTTCTGTTGAATGATGAAATTTCAAATGCAATGAAAGAATCCGACAGTACCCCTCTCCCCTGGATGCAGTGGGGCAGGCAATCGGGTAATATGGGACACTTCCTGCCTTCAATAAATACGCACCAAATAAAGTTCATCTGCCAATGTTTTAACTTTCTTGCTTGTGGTCAACGCGAAATGAATCATCTTTCATCTTGTAACTACTCTAATGAGAGTCATGGGCAAAACAATCAATTTGGAGAGAACGGGGAGCAATTTTGCAATGTATATATATATATATTTTTCTTTTCTTCTAATAGTTCATGTTACTTTGCGATAACCTGTAAAAACAAAATTTCACAATGAACCTAACAGCATCGGTACAGTAGAGCAGTAGCGGCATGCCTAGATTAGGCCACGACCAACTGTATCACTGCATCCCAAGCCACCATTTTTTAACTTTTATTCTGGCCTTAGAGGCACTCAAGCAATCTGGGAAGAAATTCCTTACCCCATAATAACTCATTGCATCTTCGTATATTAGCTACATTTATTGTAATAATGAGTAATAAATGCTTTTATATGGAATAGTTAAAAAAAAAAAAGAATTACGCAACTATTCAAAATTGATACCCATTTCGTCGTTTCCTGTTTCCTCGTCTGGTTCTCACGGATAGAAATTGCGCCAGCAGCAGTGCAGTAATAGACAGATTAACTTCCATGGTGTTGTTTGGAATGAATGGAAGTACAGAAGCAAAAACGGAAACGCGAGAGGCATACTATAAAAGGCAAAATGACGGGCAGGATACGGGGGACTACCCTCGGGGCAAATACTGACCGTGAAAGTAAGTAGACAAGGGCGGATTCGTTAAAATGCTTCAGATACCTGATAAGGGGCGTGTCCCGAAGGAATTCGAGGGGGTTTTCGGGCGTTGTACTCGGATTGCTGATAAGATTCCTCGACTACAGGTCTCCTCTTGGGGACGTCGTTATATACCTCGGGTCTATATATACTCGGGCTGTCGATCGGTGCCAGAGGTCTGGCAAATGGTTCCCTCGTTCCCTGTTCGACAGCAGCTGTAGGTCGCCTCCGTCTCACCGGTCGACGTCGTCGAGGAGACTCCACGAATTGAGGTTCTGCTCCCAGGTCATGGCCCAGAGGTCTCGATTCCAAACCGCCGTTCGTTATCGGTCTTTCTGCCGGTCGGGATGTCGGCAAGATCTTCCTCGTCTCTTCGCGGAACAAGGTGTCTCGCTTGTCCTTCAATGAAAAAAAAGCCACGATGGATCGCCTTTTGACGGATGTTTAACGGAAGGGGATCACATAGAGAGGGTTAGAAAGGATGCTTGCGTAACAACCCTGCGGGCATTGGTGGGCAGGTCGTGGCTGAAAGAACCACGGAAACACTCATATGCAGCAAGTCAAAATAATCATGAAAATGGCACAGAACTCTTTTCTTGACAGAAATTTCTTCGTCTACTAGAGCTAGAGATCGACATCGAAGTCAATGAATTTGAAGAAAAGTATGGAGAGAAACCAGAACATTGTTGAAGAACAAGAACAAGTTGCAACAGAACATTAAGCAAACTGTTGAGGCAATTGATCGTACAGTACTGATCCGTGTGTTTAACAATATGATACGACAAGTTCACATATGTCAAAATCATGCAGGACGATAGTTTCAACATCTTCACGTAAAATTACCATGGGCTGCGGCAATTTTCGAACGCCTTTTTCTATGTGAAGTCAAATACGCATAGCTATAAATGAATATAGGATCGTGTTCTTTATGTTCATTCGCATTCGTTGATTACATTTTGAAGAAAATAAAGCAATGCATCTGGTATTAATCCTCGAGGGGCAATAAGGTATTGAGACTCACGCGGTGCTGTTGAATCTCGAGCCCATTTGCAATGCAGATGAGGAGCGAGAGGGTTATCACTAAAAGCCGGTGCATAATTCACTTGGGATGATGCAGACTTGGTTGTTGTCACATTGGTCCAACCCTGCATATGGTATATGGAAGGGCACTATGCTGCCTCTACTCGCTTTCCCTCCCCGCCCTCGCACTTTCACTTTTCCTCTTTCCGTACTCGTCTATTGCCTTTGCCTTATGTCCACTTCTAGGACATTCGTGCATGATCTCTTGATCCTGCTTGGCAAGACTTCTATCAGGTTATGGGAGGGACTCGTATGTTGCATAATATGAAATGGCCATCGTGCATGAGTGATGCATGGCTATAAAAAGTTGCAGGCACAAATTCTTCAGAGTTCTATTTTTCACTCCTGCATTTTAAGAGACACTTTTAATCATTGCATTGCTCCATTATATACTTTACTACAGTAAAACTCGTTGACTCGAAATTTTTTAGACCGGGCAAATCGTTCCGAGTTATTTAAAGTTCGACCTATCAGGAATTGCCTCTACCTGTAAAAAAAAAAATATATATATATATATATATATATATATATATAATATTATATATATAATAATAATAATAAATTACTCACGTTAAGGGATATAATAGGGCGATATTTTCATCCTCAAGAATCCGATTTCAAGGAGCGACGACCTTCTCATTATAATTGGCATTTGTCTCGGTAAACTTTGATACTCCATATGCAAAATTAATTCATCCCAACGCCCTTCATCCTGTACTCCGGAAACCAAATATGACTGGAATGGCCGGAGGTGAGAGCGATAGACAGACAGGGAAAGTGCCAGAAGTTGCTTCTTTTTATAGCAGAAGCTTTCCGGTTTTAATCCTCGGGTTTAATCCTCTCCTCAGGCGTCTGTGAGGGATGAGGGAGAAGCAGAAAAAAAAAAAGAAACAGAAGGATTTTCTCCCGATCAGGTTTCTTGCCTTTCACCTATTCAAGAAATCGATGGGTCCCACGATAATTTTTCCCCCCTTCACACCCCAATTTCGAGTTAATCATGAAAAAATCGTAATCGGGAGTGAAAATGTCGTTCGAGATTTTCGGAAATTCGAGACAAGCGAATTCAAGTTAAACAGAATATTTAACATGGTCTATTACTGGATTAGGCCGGGACCAAAGAGAACTTCGAGATAAGCGGAATTTCGACTTATCAGGATTCGAGTTAATGAGTTTTTACTGTATTTCTAACAATGGGACTGAATGCTCAAGACATTCAAGTCGTTGGAAATTGAGTAATTGGGATTCCAAGTAATTGGAAATATTCTAGATTATTCCTACTTATCAATTTTTATTATTAGATTATTGCGAAATCCATAAGATACATGCACAAATCCAATAAATTCTTTCGACATGCTGTTTGGTTCGAAGTTTTTTTTAACGCATCAGTGCACGCATGAGGATGTCTCTCCATTCTCTGTTCAATTTTCAATAAACCATTTCAAAGTTTTCCAGCAGACTTGTGGCTACGCCGTGAAAGTTTTCCTGAGAATCTGCTACCCCAGGTGTTGTCCTTGATGCGATGAGGAATGGACAGCAGAGCAATTAAGATCCCTCCCTGGTCAGGAGACAGCTGACGCCGAATAGAACCGCAAAAAGATCAACTGCTTACTTGCAATGATTTTTGAGCGAGAGCGAAACCGTCACGGTAGGATGGAGAGAAAAAAAAAAAACCAATAAGGGATCGAACGCACTTTCACATTCTTCGCGGAAGAGACTAGAGAAAGAAACGCGCTTCCTATGACGTGCCTCATTCCAGCTCACATTCAACCGAGACAACGGAACCAAATTAACTACCAGAAGTCTCTTCAGAATGTTTCCGAATTTGATGAAACCTCTTAGAATTTAACCTTATTTGTTAATAGGAGCACGGGCTAATGCATACATTGGTGAGTGGACCTAACATGGTTTGCATTTCGATGCTGTAGATGGAATTCACCAGTGCTTTGACCTTCCTCGTATCAGCTGAACGGCTAGATAGCATTCCACAGAGAATTCATACTCGATGAATCTCTACATACGTACGCCTCAGAGCTTGTAGGCAGTGGCGTAGCCAGGTTTTCGCCAATGGCTAAGCGGAACGTTGGGGGGGGCTTACTTCTCCTTGTCGGTGGGGGGATGGGGGGGGGGGCGGACGCATTCCGACCAGAGTTGCGGGGGCTTGAACCAAATTTGGGGGGGGGCTGAAGCTCCCCCCAGCCCCCCTCTCGCTACGCCACTGCTTGTAGGATCTCTGGCACGCATCCAAGTCTCGGGTTGATCGCGACAAGGATGGATCGTGAGACTGCCCCCTATCGAGAGAACGACAACACGCTTAGTCCTGAAGGATCTCGACAGGTGCCGGTTTCCTTCATTCTCTTTCCGTCCGGGCGCACTTCGCGAAAAGGTCCGGTCGAAACGTAGTGACCTGTGGCGGTTCGTGGCAGCGCCCGGGATAGGCCCTGGCCTAGTCTGCCTCCATCGACGACCCACTACTGCTGCAAATCACGAGTCGCTGATGGTAATCACTTACCATTCATTCTGGAAAAATTCACATTTTTAGCAATTGGGGTAGTTGAAAAACTGGAATTGATGCAATGTTTCTTCAAGGTGACGACAACGAAAAGGGTTTCTCCTGACATTACTCGACGAGAAATATGCCTTGGTAAACAGGACAATATACGGAAAGCGTAGGGAGACGTCGACTGATTTCAAAATGGAAGTTTAGACTCAGTTTTGATTCAGTTTTAGTTGAGTTTTTCTTGGAAAATTGATCGACACGAGCATATTGGAGCCGCATGTCTTAGCCATAATCTTCGACAGCCCGTCCGTTCGTTTTGCCAGTCGGACTATAGTTGGACTACATTTCCAACCAATTGGAATTTCTCGACCCAGATTCAGCCGAGAGAGTCTCTTTCCTCTCCATCTGTTGCGAATCACAGGAACGGAACACCGTGTACCGTTCAGGCCCAAAGAGGTAATGGATGACGAGAAAGGACGGACTCAACTAAATCTCCAGAATCCTCTCCGGTCGACGGAAATAATAGTTTCAGTTCGGTCTCATTATAAGCATATGGAGATGCAAATCGGCGTAGACAAATAATTGGACGGCCTTTCGTAGGGGATCTTTCTCAGGCTTCCTCCATGACCGAAGGAACTACCAGGAACAACAAATCAATTCCTCAAAAGCTTCCTTCAATTACACTACTGCGATCTCGGGAAACTATTCAATATCAGCTTTAGCTATGATATTTTTTCGTTATCGAATATTTTTATCGATATTTTTTCGCACCTCATGCAATCCGCATGAGGTGCGAATGGATTGTTCATTGCCAAGCAATGTAATACACAAGGACCTGAAGAGGAGACAAAAACTCCTCACGGAGGAAAAAAATTATTGTAAGAAAAGTCTCCTTCGTTAGCAATAATCTAAATGTTCGATGACAGGAGTTCTCCGTGAGTTTCAGCTCCTCAAATCCAACAGAGGAACTGCCTAATGACATTGACGTACTTCTTGGAGAGGTAATGCTTGAGGACCACATATACGCGGAGTGTCAAAAGAACTCGAGAGTTTTCATAGAATCCTTCACAAACTAGCATCGAATAGAAAGAATAGATGCAGAGAAGGAGAAAGCAGTGCATATAAGCCCATATCTTCAACAAACACAGGTAGAGCATTTGTGAACCAACGAGGCTGCACTCTTGAGACGCCAAGAGTGTAAGTGAAAGGGAGTGGTGCTCTACTCCACCGTGGTTCAAGTAAGTGAGGAGAGCAGGACAAGAACAGGAAAGCATGGAGGAGGGCGGGGGAGGGGGGGGGGGAGGAAGACAACGAAGGAAAAGAGGTAAGAAAAATGTGGCCTCAGTGATTCATGAAAATTCTGACGATAGTTGTGGACGATCCTGACTGAAGCGTCGTTGCGGCTCGGATAGGCTTGGACGCATCCCAGTCGAAAAAAAATGGCGCACGACCGTTTGGCCGTTCCGTTATCTCGCAGAAAAACACGGATCGTTGTACCGATACGACATCCTGATACAGGTCCCATGACTGCATGGAAAGGAGAAGGAACAGAACGGGTTGCAGAGATTCTAGCCGTTTCTGAGTCTCGCTGTAAATGGCGTTGGAAAGCGTAGAAATGGCGCACGAGTAGTATCACGTAGATCGCATCAGCGTGGCAAAAACAGTCGAAGCGCTCGAGGCAATTACTCAAATATTGTGGAACCCAAGCCCAAGCTTTTGCAAAATGCTTTGCAAGCATTACCTCCTACCTCCTACTACCGGTCGAGTCCCATCTCTTCCCCCAGACGCACGACGGGAATAAATGGTGTTTCAAGGCTCTCTCTCGTCCTGGTTGCCTTCAGGTATTTGGAACCGAATGAGACGTGAGAGTGCGGGCTAATCCATCTCATTCATCCGCAAAGGGAACATTTAAGGTTATTCGCTTGCCGTGTTTGCCCTGATTTCAGCGAAAGTACTGCACTCTCGTCTATGCACCGCTATATAATGTACTGAAGGATACATAGGTTCGTTGCCAGACTGTCTTGAAATCTCGGTCTGCAAAGAAGGGAGGGAGGAATATACAACTGTGCAAGTTCATAGATACCTTTTTTTCTCCAATTTGACAGCAATATTCGGCGACGGATTCGAGGTTAAGGGTTGCAACGACTCTAGATTTTATAATATTATTAAATCAATTGCTTGCTGCATACACTGGGCCAGTACGATTCCAAGGTAAATGTATTTTGCATAATGTGCTAGTTTCAAGGCTTTTAGGCTTCAAGGTTTGAATTTTAATTATTTTTTAATGTGACTCTTCGACTTACAATGGCTGGGACGATCGAAATTAGCTTTATCAATAAAGATGGGCGTTGATCTTTAATCAGTATTTCAACTTTCATATTATAGAGAGATTTTATGATGCACAGGTATTTTTAGGCAAAACTTGAATGAAGCGAATGCATCTTCGTGGAGATGTGTGAATCAGGTTACTGGAACCCTCTCATCGTTGATTCCCCTTCTTAACACACGAGGGGAAATTTTAATATGTGGGAGAACAGAAAAATAAAGAATCACTCTGGCTTTTGGAGATATCATGTATCTTTAGTGACATGCATTCAAGAAAACAATAGTAATTTCATAATGTGGTAGAAGAATCTTCCCCTCTGTAGGGAAAAAATGCAACATTTTAGCATTTTACATCTAACCATCATATAAAGGCCTATTTATTTCAGAGGAACTTGGTGCACGA